TTTTTTTTTTTTTTTTATTTGGCCCTGGTAGTTTCAACTAATATCAGGTAAAATTCCATCTTGGACTCTTGACTCCAAATTTACCTTTTTCATTCTTGCTGACCCTTCTTCTTCCACCTGTTCACCACACCCTTGCCTGGCCAGCACCAGCCCAAATGCTGCCGTTGGTCCCCACCAGCTGTTGTTGTCACTCAATCTAATCCTTGGGGCACCAGCCCGTGCTCAGTACAGATGCCTGGAATGCCAATCTGGGGGAAAGCTAGGGCTGTGAGACCTTTTTGCCACAAATACCCGGAGTCTGAGTGACTGATTGTTTTGCCATATCCATGATGTGGCTGTCACTGGTAGTGGACTCTCCAAGCACCTCAACAGCCTAATCCTAGAAGGTTGATTCCCAGGGGCCAGGGACGGGTCAGATGCTGGGAGGGTTTGGTGCTGAAAGGGCTCTTTGACACACGGGGTTCTATAGGCCAAAGCATCTTTCGGGGTTGACACCCGGGCCTCTCTAGTAGATCTCTCTGCTGAGCAGGGTCAGGGAAGGACCGCATCTATTCCTCAGTCGGCTCCCTCTCCAGCTTCTAACCGAGCCAAATTCACGGGGTCAGGAGATGGCAGCTGCTCTGGGCATCTGGCCCCCCACGGCTGTGTCTGGCCTAGTTGGAAAGGACACTAGCTTGAGGCAGAAGAGAGTGTTCTCCCACCCTTGGGAGCTTCAGCTTCCCCAAAAGACCACTGTTCAAGGGATCAGCTCTTCGTGGCTTTGTCCTTGTTCTCCTCCGTGGGAGCCTGGCCCGATGGTGCCCACGAGGTGTGTGGACACCACTTCTCTCCCTAGCCTCTTGTGGGAGGGCACAGCCCTACTTATGGACCCAGTGAACGAAGCTCCAGGCTGGAGGGAACGGGTTAACTCCAACCAGGGCGGTGTCCCAGTCGGCAAGAAACAGCTCTTAGAACAGCAACTTCCCCGAAGCTCTTCTTGATGCTAACATTTTATCATGAACTATGATTTTGCCGTAATAAAAAAATATAGCGCGTGTCCTAGAAGGCAGATTTCGCTGAGCCCCTCAGTAACCAGGGCTCGGCTAGGTCTCCACAGGAATAACTGAAGCCCTGTCGTGGCACCTGCCCATCTCTTGCCGCATAAGGCTTTGAGAAACAGTCACAGAGGTGCGGGAGTGGAGGGAAGAAAGAAAACAAGTCGTGAGAGGTCTTGGCCAATTGGCTCATCCCTAGAAGCATAACATTTTACAACCGGAGAGAGCTTGAAAGTTCAGCTATTCCTCAGGCTCTCGCCCTGCGTGCACATGAGGATCACCCCCAGAAGTCCTCCTTGGACTGCTCTGCAGTGAGGGCCCAGCATCAGTGTTTTTAAGGGCTTTTCAGGTGATTGGAATGTGCAGTGACTGAGAACACAAGGTGAGCAATGCGCTCACTCATCCACTCTGAGGGATTCCTCTGATTCCTCATCATTCCAAGCTTTCAGACTGTCTTCTCCAGAGCCCCAGGCTTGCTGGTTGTGGGCAGGGTTCCAGGCACCCCTCCCTCTGCCCCTACACCTTCTCCTGGGAGAGTTCTCACCTATGTCTCAGGGGAGCAGGAAGCGCCCCTGACCCCACCCTGGTCACAAGCTGTTGGCCCAGGCATGGTCACTCAGTTCTGGCCTGTTTTACTGCCTGACCAATGGTGTGTGACCTGGCCAGAGAGGATAAATGGGCTAATCACATTATCTCTCTCTCTCTCTCTCTCTCTCTCTCTCTCTCTGTGTGTGTGTGTGTGTGTGTGTGTCTAGAAGCTAACTTGAGCCGCAGGGAAGGAGGTCACCAGAGTCCTGGAGACGCGGCACAGTCACACAGGATGTGGGCTGTGCGCCTGGCCCGGAGAGCAGGCAGTGCGTGCAGAGGGGGCTGGGAACAACTCAGAAGGGTGGGGATGAAAGAGTGTCAGCGCCTAGAGCTCCAGGATTCCTGCTCTGCCTGCGGCCTGTTTGCTCAGCTTTTCTCCGATTCCTAGGAGACCTTTCTAGAGCCTTAGAAAAGCCCTGTTTTACTGGAGCCTATCTCTGTATAACCAAAAGCGTCTTAGAGAGAACACTCACTACAAACAGGGCCATTCTGCTTTTATCTTTTTACATTTCAGGGTCCATGGGAGATTTGGACTGGAAGGTGGATACAAAAAGGTCTCCACTGTGGCAAAAAAGGAGTGCGGAGGCCAGGGGCTGAGCCCGACCCCTGCTTCACTGAGGACATGAGGCACGGAAAAAGGACCGGCAGGTCGTGCGGGCCTGTCTCCATGGGAGACCAGAAGAAGGGGTGTAGGGACTGCTAGGGATCCCCCCTCCCTCCCTCCCTCATGACTGCAAGCACGGGACATCGGACTCTGGGGGCAGAGGGTTCCGTCAGCCTGGGGCACCCTGGAAAGCCCTGTCTTGTCTTTGGCTCAGAATGGCTGTGCTTCAGTGGTAAAAGGGCAAACTGTCAGGCCCCAAGGCGAATCCTGCGATTCTCCCCCTCTCCCAACCGATAGCTCACCAGCCCCAGACACCTCTCCGTGCACCCAGAGGGATGGCCATTACCTTTCCCCAGGCTGACCCAGTCCTTCACCTGCCATCTCTGCTCAGAAACCCGGAGTCAGGCCCTTCACAAAGGGAACTTGAGCTGGTCATAAGCATGTGGTGCCTAAAGTCTAGCTGACATCGTTTCCATCTGTAGGACTCACTTTCCTTTCTTCCCATAAATATGTCTAATTCCTGCTATTCAAGCTCAGCTCCCCCTCCACCTAGCTCCACACGGTGCATCAGTCCACTTCTTGTGGAGTAGACTGTGAGGAATGTATCTGATGGTTAACCTCAGGTCTGGACTGAGACGTCAGGGAAGACAGGTGCATGCAGAGCGTGGATTGACTTTGCTTTCCGTGGACTGGAACCTACTCCTGCATAGCCATACAGTTCTCTGTATCTATAATCCTTTATAAGGACACTGGATCAGTTCAATGGCCATGACACTACCAGAGAGTAAGGGAGACAGATATGACAAAGGTCTAGCCTGGTCCTACCACCCTTAGAGTGCCTTATTTGGAAACGGTAGCAGAATTTAGGACTCGTAAATCAAAGGTGAGGATGGGCTTTTAAGCAGGAACTACCCAAATAGCACCTGCTTCCCATCCCAAAGTCCAATATCTGCATAAAAGGCCTGAGCATTTTCTGAGTTCACGCTCACCCCCAGTCTGATACCTCTCTTTCAGTGCCATAACCTCACAGTCTCCCACACCAGGCGGTCAGCCCCTCGAGAGCTGAGGACCAGATCTTATCAGCGTTTGCATCCCCAGAAGCTGGCGCAGCGACGGATGGCTAAAAGGAGTTCAAAACATGTTTGATGAATGAATGAATGCGTGTCCCCTAGCCATTCTCCCAGAATCCCAGGAGCCAGGACCTTGGCTCCCCAGCAGCTCCCCAAGCCTGAGGCCTTACCTCCCATGAGGAAGAGAAGCCCTGCTACATACTGCATAAGGCCCCGGTCCCAGCAGCAGCCCAGCACGCCGATGATCCAGCCGAAGAGGATGATGGCCACCGCCATGCCCATGAAGCCGGCGGTCATCCTGCGCAGGTCTGTGGGGAAGCGAGTGGGCAACAGTTAGCATCGGAACCTAGAACTCGCAGTCAAGGTGCATCCCGGCCCCAGGTAAAAAGGGAGAGGGTGGCATACTGCAGGGGTGGAAGGCAACATACCCTTTTCAGACAACCTTGCACAACTGAGCTTCTTTTGTACAGGAGAGAGGGCCCCTGGCGGTAACTCTCCTCAGGTGCGAAAAGCATGCCAGGACAGTTTGGCTGGCAGGCACAAGGAGAGACTGCCGTCCCAATCGGCGTCATTTCTTATGCACCTTTGTGCCAGGTGCAGCGCTGTCGTTCCCAAGCATCAGGCCCAACGGTCTGCAACAGGAACTGCCTTTATCCTTATTTGAAAAACGGAGTCAACTGCCGAAAGCCTTACGGCTACTGAGTACCACAACAAGGCATCAAACCCAGATCCGGATGGCTCCTAGGTGCTAACCACAGCATCATTCACCTCTCAGGAAGAAACGGGCCTTTAGTGGAGGGCGGGGGCTCAGCAGATGGGCTGCACCTGCCGAGTGCTCCCTCTCTTCCCTCCAGGGCTGACGGGGCTCTCCAGGAGGTCCAGTGCGAGGAGGAAGCTGCTGGCGGTGTCCTGTTCCTTCCCTCTAAGCCAGCTGGCAGGGGCTCAGCTTTCCCCGCACGTGGGGCTGCAGGGCAGAGAGCCAAACTTGCTGCTCTCAGACCGAGCCCCTGAGCAGGCCTCTTCAGCTCCCGTGGACCCCAGGTCAGCCCAGCTTTCTAGGTCCGGCCTTTCCCTGTTCCACGCCTCGCTGACCCCACCGCACAAAGCCGATGCGGGTACGGCGAGGAGGGCCGTCTGGAAAGGCGGTGTTGTTAGTAGAAGGGAGAGGGCAGAGATACTGTCACCTGTCAGCCTCTTGCTAGGTGCGGCTTCCTCCTGGCTCTCTCCACTGCCCTCCAGGGCATCCCCACCAGCCTCACGCTCCCTCCCTGGCGTCCAGCCTTCTTACCTCCCTCCTCCTCCTTACCTCGTCGCTGCTAGTCCTTGACTCCCTCCACCCTGCCCCAGCCTTGCCAGCCTGCCGCTCCCTGCCTACCTCTGCAGTTTGTGCAAAGCCCATCTGCCAGCCCCAGCCCCAGCCCCAGCCCCAGCAATGGGGCTCCAAACAGGAGCAAGCCATCTGCCCAGCCCCTGCCCCGGGGCTTGCCAGGACAGCCTGGAGGGCATCATGGGCACTCCTCCCTCTCAGGGAGGGGGAGACTGGGAGTGGAAGTGAGGGCACCTGACAGCTAACCACATCCACACCCGTGGAAGCACGGGGTGATCTCGCCTCATGCCTACAAATGCCTGGCAGGTCTCCATGCACCGCGAGGGCGCCCTGCCCGCTCTGTTCCTCTGTCACTCCAGTCACCCCCGTCGGGAGCTACGGCAGATCCTGGCACAGTCAGGCTAGAGAAACCCTGGCCTTCTCCCCTCGGAAGAGGGATTTGGTCCACGCTCCCTGACCTGACACGGAGGATGAGACCCTGGCAGCCCCCCCAGGAGGCTGGCTGGAGGCGGGGAGGGAGGGGCAAAGGAAAGCAGCTCGCACAAGGGGCAGGACGGGACCCTGTTGCAGAGGCAGAAATCCACCCACGGAGCACGTTCCTGCTCTACCCGTCCTCCTCTGTCCTCCCCTGCCCGACCCGGAATGCCTGCCGCACCGGGTAGAAGCAATGCCCGTTCCTGTCACGTATGTGAACTGCCAGCAATGCCTCATCATCATGCCACACTACAGATGGCTCCCATCACCACGGTGTCCGAGGAAGCTGCACGGAGGGCATCACTCGATCGCGGCGCTCAGACGTGCACCCCGCTTCCCGAGCCGGCTCCCCGCTTGGTGCGCGGGCACCCACAGCCAGCTTGAGGTGAGGAGGGAGGCACAGTCTTGCCGGCTGCACAGGCACCACCTCGTACCCCGTGATCTAACTGCCCTGGTCGTCCTGCCACCTGTCTCAGCCCTTCTTCCTCAGGCGCCGCCCCAGACCCTCGCGTGAGCCAGGCTGGAGCTGCCTCCTAGGTGGAGAAGAGCATCCCTTGATGTGTGAGTCCATTTGGACGGACTCCCGGAAGTGCTGCATCCACTCTCCACTGTGGTCAAGGGCAAGGAGGCGGTGAGAGCGGCGGAGGAGAGCTCGGGGTACTTTTGGATTAAGGTAGGCTTACACCCCCTTAGACAGATCAGGAAATTTCACTCTATGCCCCTTTTCAGTGCATGAAGGGCTTCTAAGATCTTGGTTCCTTTGGCAACATCAGAGATGGACAGCACTGCTGAAACCACCTGGCCCCTCCCACTGCACTTGGCCTTGCTCATGGAGAAGCCTTACTGAGCCTCAGCCCCTGCAGATCCACAGGAGATTGCCTGGGGGATTAAGTGGACGATGTG